ATAGAAGACTTTTTAATCTTCAAATTGGGAGTCGCTCGTGTAGAAATTAGTGGTGTGTGTTTTGGTGTTCATAAAATCCGGTAAATGATAAAAAGAAGAAAATTACATTTCGACGATAATTTAGTACCAGAACTTTAAAACACCACAACTTATTGTTTTTATCGCTTACCGCTTCAAGATAAATATTCATTTGAAAATGAATTCTTCTTTCCGTTTGTGTCAAAATGTTGGTGAAGTTTTGCAAAGTAATTTACCTATAAAAAAAACCTCATTTCAGCGCTAAGCTAGTCAATATACACTGTCAGAATGTCCTAAAGTCATGCTTACCATAGTATCAGTTGTAAGTGTAAGATTTACATGAAATGCAACAGTTGTAGATGCAGTCATAATGGGGTTTCTGTTAAAGTTATATCGATCAGAAAGAAATAATTGAAAATCATTCTTACAGTTGAAATCAAAGTCAAAGTGGAATGGCCCTGAACGAACGTTGTCTTTATCAACACCAAAATTACATCTTGAAAATTTAATTTCGCTTTTTAAAGCAAGACACTAAACCCTAAAGTTGTGAAAAGTTTTATATGATAAATTGGTCTCGCGGATTTTCTTTTGTTGAAAGGTGCCACCGAAACATGGTAATGTCTGTACAATTGACTCACTATTTAGGGTTGAGTAAACAAATTGAAAGGAAATTCGATCAACATGTTCAAACTGGGGTGTTGTAAACATGTGGTACCTAAGTTATTTACATAGGGGGTAAAAACTTGGTTTGTTGTTAAGCGCAAAGTTGCACAATAGACTATGGACCACTGAAGGGATCGAACCATTAGATCCTTTGTTTGCACATAGCACTTACAACCCACTATTAGCGCAATTGCTTTAATCAGCTTTATAAAAAAGATTCTGAAATGAAGATTCAAATAAAGACATTCGAATTTGTTGGCAGTTTAAAGCGAATGCATGTTGATGACAAGGGACACTGTGCTAGTTACGTTACTGAGTTATTCTTAAAATATACGGCGGAAACAATTGGTTTATGGGTAAATCTTTTTTCTGATAGCGGAGTAGTACATATTATTCCAAAATAGTCTAGATCGTTTTCTAAGTATTTTACAAAATAAGACATCTTTATGTTTGATGATAAAATTTAAGAATTTAGATAGGATGACTATGGGTTCGAAAACACTTTTTGTTTTTCCAAGAAAAACTTTGTTCAAATTGTTTCTTGGATAACTTGAGTATATGTACTGTAACAGATATATAGATTATTTTTGACTAAACTAATCATAGTAAAAAATAAGCAATAAATTTTATAGTGATTAGATAAATACACAATACCGAATAACTTAATCTAAAATAAAGTTTAGATCCAATACTACGGAACAACAATAACATTATATGGATACATGTTTTGACACTTTCACGGGTCCTCTTCAGTCCAAAGTTATACTTTATTTTATAAAAAAGGAGGATGGTTTAGTTTTGTGTGTTTACAAATTTAAACAGTCCAAAAATTACGCTTCCTAAAATGAAAATTACCTGAACTTAACATTTCGCTTTCTATGCCTTGCCCATGCTTTTATCTCCTTGGTGAAAGTGTGTGTTGAAGACAGTGTGTTCACATGCATGGGACAATATTACAGATAAAAACATGGAACGGTTTTGGGTAACCCCAATTCTATCTAAAATATGCACGGATTATATTTAAAGTGAATTACTGTGGATATGAATATTACGAAATCTCCTGGTTGACGTATTTCCTGTTTGGCCAAACGATTTTCAAGCCCTTTTCCAGGTGATTAACAAGCTTCTCAGTACTATTGAGTTTAAAATGGAATGGGAAACCAATACTTCGCTCCAATTTTTAGATATTCTCATAACTAGAGCAGAAATAGAATCTGTTCTTTCTATCTATAGAAAAATAAAACATTTAAGCTACGTCCTCTTTTGTTCGTGCCGCCACAAAACTGTTAAAACATCAATTAAAGCTTCAATGTTTTTAAGAATATAAAGAGCATATCATCACACGAACCTTGATGAAGTAATCAAAAGTATTTATCAATTTCGAACGATTACCGTATCCTGTAGGCTTTGTCAAACAAGCCCATCAAAAGGCAAGGAAGACAATTTTTGAAGCATAGCAACAAGAATCATGAACACGTGAAAATAAAATGAGAAGTGTATAAAAAACAACAATCTTATAGATCTTTCTAGTACCCTGCCAATCTTGCGAAAAAATACCTTCGTGAAACGGAAATAAATTTAGGTACCAAACTCGCATAACATAAAAGGGATGTTGAAAATGGTGAAAAAATAATGCTATTTTTCTACACATGAAAAATCTTAATCATAAAATCAGCTGGAAATCAGCCAAAATAATACATAAAACTAGAAATTATGTCAAAAGAATAATTTTGGTAAGTTCGCTAATATAAAGGTTGCTAAATTACAACATCTCTGAAGGAAACTACTCAGAACCTCCGTTTTAAAACAAGCTATGTGTGTGTTTCTATCACAAACAAAAGTTAGACTGAAAAGAATACGTGAAAGTGTTGAAACTTGTAGATTTGTTGTTTTCCCGTAATAATGGATCTAAACTTTATTTATCATAACTCTGCTTTCAAAAATTTAAATAAAAAACGTATCCACATTTTGAAATTTTATTTCTTTAACGGTTAAAAAAAATGGTTAAACTCTAACTTAAAGATCATCTGAAAAATTTAGACATTTTAAGAAAAATGATTAAACTCTAACTTAAAGAGCATCTGAGAAATAAAGACATTTAAAAAATGGTTAAACTCTAACTTAAAGAGCATCTGAAAAATTTAGACATTTTAAGAAAAAATGATTAAACTCTAACTTAAAGAGCATCTGAGAAATAAAGACATTTAAAAAAAATGATTAAACTCTAACTTAAAGAGCATCTGAGAAATAAAGACATTTAAAAGAAATGGTTAAACTCTAAATTAAAGAGCATCTGAGAAATAAATACATTTAAAAAAAATGGTTAAACTCTAACTTAAAGAGCATCTGAGAAATAGACATTTTTAAAGAAGGTATCGAGAACATTAATCGCGTTCTTTGAAAGAACATTTTCCTTCTGCTATTGGAACGGAATCATTCGGCTCATTACTCCAGTATATGTCATGTATGATGTTCCAAGACGTTACTTCAGTAATAGCATGCTTGTGTACTATTTCTTTCATGATCAAAAAGGAAATTAAGTGAATCATTAAAGTTATATCTTCAAGCTCAGAAAAGTGTCATTGAAACGAATATAACGTTAAAACAGTTTTTTTTTATTATTGTAGAAATTCACTAAATCATCTAACTAGCCCTCTTGTGGTGTATGAGTTCAAGGGTCCGAGACGCGCATGCGGTTATATTGATTCTACCACTAGAAAGCTCTACTGTCGTATCAATGGACATTGTGATTTAAGAACACCAACTTCAGTACATGGGCGTCCGCAGAAATTTTCCCAGGGAGGGGCAAAGTAGTGTGAAATTGTGAATTGAATACAAAATTAATATACACATGCTGAATGAATAAAGAAAGAATTATGCTTTTAATTTACCAGGGGGGACTCCCCCTTGCGGACGCCCAAGCCTCAGTGTGCTGCTGACACTCATTGATTGGAATATGTAATACGTAAACTTCTGAATTTTCCCTTATCATGTCCATGAGCAGTGGAAGAGATTTAACCACGCTTATTCCAACACCTTGAAATACTAGAAGTAAGATGCATACCCTAAGTCAGAATATGAGTACATTGCCACTAGATCTGGATTTTGGATAAACTGTTATATTATCTTACCAAGTTGGGTATTGGGTATTCAAGAATCTGTCTTTAGTCAGTTGGATATTGGTTTTGAAAAGTCTGTCATCGATTAGCTAGAAATTGGGTAAACTAATTCCTATTTTTAGCCAGTTAATGAATTGGTAAACACATTATTGTTTCCCGTGAGTTGAGATTCTGGGTGAAGTAATATATTTATTTGTTTTAGTTTTGGGTGATACACTATATATCCTGATGGGTCTGATATTGGGTAAATTGATGTCAATCTTCGGTCAGTTAGATACTGGATAAACATCCATCCATTTTCAGTCAATTGAATAAACAAATGTCAATATTCAGCCAGTTGGTTACTAAATAAATAGATGTCAATAGTTAGATTTTCGATAAACAAATATCAATATTCAGCCAGTTGGTTACTAAATAAATAGATGTCAATAGTTAGATTTTCCGTAAACAAATATCAATATTCAGCCAGTTGGTTACTAAATAAATAGATGTCAATAGTTAGATTTTCGGTAAACAAATGTCAATATTCAGCCAGTTGGTTACTAAATAAATAGATGTCAATAGTTAGATTTTCGGTAAACAAATGTCAATATTCAGCCAGTTGGTTACCAAATAAATAGATGTCAATAGTTAGATTAAGGAAATGCCATTGTTCAGTCGGTTATTGTGTAAACTGATCTAATTTTCAGTTAGTTGCTTATTGTGTAAACATACATTAAATAAATAAATGTCAATCTTTGGTCATTTCGATACTTGATAAACAGATAACAATCTTCATTCGGTTAGGTATTGATACTTATATTAAAATCAGCAACGATGATTTATATAAATCGGATAATCCAACCTACCTAGAAAGATGTATGGAAACAGATGTTTAAGAATTCAACTACACAGGTTTAGAAAACCATATATCCGATATATATGTTATCTTATATATATATTTCGGGGATTTGTTTATCGTCAGTCTGATAAAGCACTCTAACGGAGAGTTTTACTCAAAGTTAAGTTCCAGCATTCTATATTTTCCGAACACAAATCTTCTAAGTTCTTTAAAAGAAGACTTTTGAATTAATATACCAAATTAACTATTTAGCATTTGGTTTTACATTTTATCCCGTTGCAGCCGTAGGTCCTACTAAGTCCTGAATGTATCAATACAATAAATAAATAAACTGAAAGTATTCGTAGAACTCAACCTACCATCTGAATTTCGTTTCAATGCTTCAGCGTCTCTAGAGACACTGTCTTCACTGAAACATCTCCCTCCCAAACTGTCCACTGAGGTGCGACCTTCACCTAGTCGGCTACGTGTCACTGGAGGATGCCCGTAGATGGATGAAGATGGCTTGTGACGTCTTATAGTTGACAGACGGCTGACGAATGACGTATTGTGCTTGAAGCTAAACCACGTGAAGACTCAAATGTTAAAACTTCCTTCAATGAGAAAGTGAATAAATCCTAGTTTAGGTAAATTACACATGATAAACATTCCACCCGTTATATAACGACAGCTTTAAAAGTGACATTAAGAGGTAAATACAACAAGAAATTATGTTCTAATCAGAGCACTTCTTAAGTTGTGCGTGCATAATATGTCTATAAAAGGTGACGGTTCATGAGATGTGCATACGAGTTATTTCTTGTATTAACCGTGTATGGCGTGTGCTACGTACATTACTATATACAGGTGCAATATTCCTTAGTTGCTACTAACACTACTATCTCCAGGTGCAATATTCCAAAGCTACTACATAACTATTATCTATATATGTATAATACCCCAAGGTTTTTACATACACTACTATCTACAGGTGCGGTATTCCGGAGCTGCTACATACACTACTCTCTATATTTATAGTATTCCAAAGTGGCTATATAATCTACTATCTTCAGGTGCGGTATTCCAGAACACACACTACTATCTTTAGGTGTAGTATTGCAGTTGCTACATACAAAACTATCTAAAGATTCAGTATTCCCGAGTTGCTGCATACACTACTCTCTATATTTATAGTATTCCAAAGTGGCTACATAATCTACTATCTTCAGGTGCAGTATTCCAGAACACACACTACTATCTTCAGGTGCAGTATTCCAGAACACACACTACTATCTTTAGGTGTAGTATTACAGTTGCTACATACAAAACTATCTACAGATTCAGTATTCCAGAGTTGCTGCATACACTACTATCTTTAGGTGCAGTATTCCAGAACACACGCTACTATCTTCAGGTGCAGTATTCCAGAACACACACTACTATTTTTAGGTGCAGTATTCCAGAACACACACTACTATCTTCAGGTGCAGTATTCCAGAACACACACTACTATCTTTAGGTGTAGTATTGCAGTTGCTACATACAAAACTATCTACAGATTCAGTATTCTCGAGTTGCTGCATACACTACTATCTACAGGTGTGGTATTCCGGAGTTGCTGCATACATTAATTGTTTACTTCTGTAAAAATCCACAGTTGCTAAATACGTTATGGGTGTTGCCATCTTGAGCACATACATATGCTGAATGTGTGTCCGATAATATAATTATCCAGTTATTAGATACAACTTTTTGTGTGTGTGCATTAATCCAAATTTATTACATTCACTGACAATCTATGTGTACAATAATCCAGAGTTACTAAATCATACATTAACTGTCTGTGTATAAGATAATCCAGAGTTACTAAATCATACATTAACTGTCTGTGTATAAAATAATCCAGAGTTACTACATGATACATTAACTGTCCGTGTTTTAAATAATCCAGAGTTACTACATGATACATTAACTGTCTGTATATAAAATAATCCAGAGTTACTACATGATACATTAACAGTCTGTGTATACAAATCCACAGTTACTACATGATATGTTAATTGTCTGTGTGTACAATAATCCAGGGTTATTACATGATGAACTAACTGTCTGTAAGTTCTTAATCCAGAGCAACTATTTGTGTGTGTGCAGTCAAACAGGATTACCACATATACACTGGATACTTGCATATGTTGAAATCCAGAGTTAGCACGTACACTAAATATTTACGTGCGCAATCGTCTTTTACCACACGTAACAAATGTGACACTGGGGTGGAGCAGCGTTCGGATCTCACCCCAGTCCCTGTATCTCCTCTATAGGCCCCTTAGGGTTCTTCACGCTATTCTGTTGATCTCGACCAAACTTTGAAGGCATCCTTAGAACACTCCGGAAAGCTACAAAATGGTTGACGTTCGGATCTGACTCCCCCATGTCACTCCTCGTGATCTATTTGTCTGTCTCTATGATCTATGGCAGTTATTTTGGTGTAAAGTTAACAGTTTAGAGAAAAACTATTAATCACCAAGGGTGTTCAAAGATTAGAGGTTCGTAAAGTGGTCATCGTTCTGATGGGCCAAGTGGGCGAAAAAACGAATTAAAATAAGCAGAAGGAGAGAGAGAAAAAAAGTTGTCTATCTTTCACGCTTTAAGGTTTTGGCTTATCTCAACCAAACTTGGTATGCTCTCTTAGGGCCACCCAGGAATTTGACATGGGGGGGGGGGAATTCAGATCTAATCCACTTTTTTCACTCCCTCGTGGGTCCCTATGTGTTCTACACACTATTATATTGATCCAAATTTTGAAGGCACCCCTAAGGCATCTCGGGGAGTAACATAGGAGGGGTTGACGTTCCGACCTGCCCCCCACGTCACTTTCCAGGGGCCTTCTCTATGTCTTTCCCATGCGTTGAGCCGGTATGTCAGCTAGTAATCTGTGTTTATGGCCCTCATTTACAACACATGTTTATACCTACATATACTATATTGAAACAAAAGATTCACTTCAAATAAATAAAGATTTTAAACAGGATGATAAGAAATCTGTTTCAACATTTTCAGTAGAAGTAGCCTTGTCTTCAGTGGAAAAGTACAGTAGAAAAGGGTAGAGAAGCAGACAGAAATAACAATAATAGGCAAACTGATAGGTACTTGTCATTATCATTAGAATTTAAAGATGTCTAGATAGATTTCGTCAGTGCTTGATACAACAATATAGAACAACATTAAGAAAGTTATTACAAAAGAGCCTTATTTAGAAATGTAAGTACATACACTTATAACAACATGCAGAAAGTGTCAAAACTGAAGGTTAAAAAGGTTTTATTCTGGCAAATATGAACGTGCACAATTTCTGTGAACAGAATCATGTACCACTCGGTCGGCTTTTGTTTTGTTTTTGTTATTTTTGACCTAAGACTTAAAAGTAGATTATTACCCCCCCCCCAATAAACATATCTGGTGAACACTCCACCCCCCATAAACATATCTGGTGAACACTTCCCCCCCCATAAACATATCTGGTGAACACTCCATTTATGATAATTTGATCTCTTATCTCATGAGTCTTGTAAATGATGAGAGAAGAGTCATAGTTTGAAAAACAATGGATAAAAACAGAAATATTTCCAGCTTTCAATGGCGTATTATAGTGGGTAACCTTCTTGCATAAATGTTATTATCATATTGAAAGTGATTGAGCTAGTAAACTGTGGAGAACATTCTCCTGACAGGGGCTGGACTTGTAAAGTGTGGGGAACATTCTCCTGACAAGGGCTGGGCTTGTAAAGTGTGGGGAACATTCTCCTGACAAGGGCTGGGCTTGTAAAGTGTGAGGAACATTCTCCTGACAGGGGCTGGACTTGTAAAGTGTAGGGAACATTCTCTTAACAGGGGCTTGGCTTGTAAAGTGTGAGGAACATTCTCCTGACAAGGGCTGGGCTTGTAAAGTGTGGGGAACATTCTCCTAACAGGGGATTGACTTGTAGAGTGTGAGGAACATTCTCCCGGCAAGGGCTGGGCTTGTAAAGTGTGGGGAACATTCTCCTAACAAGGGCTTGACTTGTAAAGTGTGTTGAATATTCTCCTGACAGGGATTGTGCCTGAATATTCTTTAGAAGGATGAATGATATTTAAAATGTAACAACAATCACGTCAATCTCACAGCTCTGCATTTCCGCTCTGATACATAAGTATTTTTTAAGACGATAATGACACAACAGTTAACTTGTTCGAACTTGATTAAAAAAAAAAAAGAGCGCGGCAAAGTCTTCGTTCCTATTCACTAAATATCAACCGAATTTTACATCTTTGATCTGAGACGCACTTCCGACATAAACCCTGTTTGCATCTGTGAGATAATGGCACGGACAGATTATACTCTTCAACGAATAAGACATGTTTATTCCACGCTGAGTCCAAATTAAGATGGGGGATAAAAGGTCGTCTGACTTCATATCGTGTGGTGATTATGGTAAAATGGTTTTTCAGAGTAGGTTTCAAAGCTAAAAGAATAACTTAATTGTGTTTCTACTACCTTTTGTTACATTAAAAATAAACAGGATTTACTCTTCTGTTTAATTCCATTCCTTGTTTCTGTTTTTCCCCATTTAATTAAACAAAGGATCCACAATTCTGTATTGGAATCACAGGGTTTGCATTTAATGTGTTAGTTAATAACATGTTTTTGTTTTATCTTCTTCTCTTTTTCTGTTGAAACAGAGCGTTCACAGGATTGAATTGTGGTCATAAGGGTTCACTTTTTTACATAATATTATTTTATGTTACTATTTCTTCCTATTTAATTGAACAGAGTGTTCCCGAAGGTTGTATTGCTATTAACATTATGGGTTGTACTGCGTCTTCAACTGAACTTCAGTTACCAATAGTTGTGTGGTAACCACAAAAGTCTGTTCTATACAACTGTGTTATATCGTAGTGTGTAACAGTTAAAAACTCTTTACTTTCAAATTCTATCTAATTAGAAGTTAGAAATTTTGACATTTGAAGGAGATATTGATTTGCCAGTGCGTATTATATTGCTATATCCTGAAGTATACTATGGCTACTTACAGATTCCCGCCGCCAGGTGGCAGGTCGAATTTATCTTTACGTTTAGTTGAGGTGAAGGAACCAGATGAGAAACTATAAAACAGTGCGATAGAGCATCAAACATTTGCAAGAAAATACATTCAAAACATATAAAGTATAAGAACTTAGTAAAGATATACTTCAATAGAAGTGAACGTTCAAGTGAGAGGTAAACAAATTTAAGTGAAAGCAGAGAAAAGAAATTATTTCGTGTTCACAGATCTACATGCAAAGGCTGTGGAAAGTATTACATGATTTGATCAGTTCAGTTACAAGAAATCATTCATTATTAATGTGCACGTTTTAGAACAAAGTAAAAAAGGAAAGTGAATATGTGTATTTTTGTCAAAATTCAACAGAAAGTAAAATATTGAAAAGGTCATTCTTTATATGAAGGGTTAAGTGGTAATAAGAGACAAAAACAAAAGGAATATGAAAAATTAGTTTTACCAGAAACTGTCTATTTGTTAGTATGTTTCGGATATTTCCTTTGGTACTTTTAAATTGACGATTAATACGAACGTGTTTGCATTTCATACTCACGGAGGTGAACTTGGAAGCGGCACCTGATGAATTTTCCACGTTGCTATGGACATCGAATTCTCGTCTGCTGCATAGCACCTCCATAGACACTGGATGAGAGTGGCAGCTGGTACTCGCCTTCGAATCATGTGTTTTTGTCTTTGTTGTTGCTGTACTTTTAAGGCAAATCCAGAGCCCAGAATTCCCTATCTCGAGAGAAACAAAGTACAGACACTGTAAATCTACAAATAGTTCATATCATATTAACCTATTACCACATTTTAGCACAAAACTTTTCTGTCGTTTTGAAAAAGGTTACATTATCACCCTTACTGTGGGTACTTTCTATTGGTTTGTAGGGTGAAATAAGTGTCGTTTCTGTGGGTTTTAGGCTTAGTGACCTATTTTTCAAGTCACTTCACTTTCCTACTTCTTTTGTTGGCGTTGAATATTGTCATGGTTGATACGGTTTCCTAGGTAACATTTTATAATTGTACTAAAGAAGTCAAAACCGAGGTCAAGCGAGATTCGAATCCACATCCTTACATACTGGGAGTGAGTTTTTATGAATTACGTAATCAGCCTTAGACAAATTAACAATGTTACGTATGAAATTGAGCCAAGAGTGCCGATGTATGTGTACATTTATCGATAATATTTATTATCAATATTATGTTGTATATTAACTAACAATAAAGTTTATTTACATACACAGGTGATAAACACAAAACTCCTACAATTCTTTCTAATCACGTTTTATAATGTACATACCGCAGGAAGAGCAAAGAAAGAGATACCAAGTAGTGCACAAAAGGCTGCAATAACCTTTCCTGGCCAAGTTGTAGGAACTGTGTCACCATAGCCAACTGTACACAGGGTGATCTGAAACAAAGAACTGTCTTGTATCTACGATGTCTAACAGTTAACAGCTTTAAACTTACTTAACTCTCTGTTATAGCGCGTTTATTAAACACTGTGATCTGAAACAAAGAACTGTCTTGTATCTACGATGTTTAACAGTTAACAGCTTTAAACACTACTTAATTCTCTGTTTTAGCGCGTTTATTAAACACTGTGATCTGAAACAAAGAACTGTCTTGTATCTACGATATTTAAGCAGTATCACAACTTTAAATACTATTTAACTCTCTGTTATAGTTGGTTTAGTTTCTGTGCATTTTCTACAGTAATTAAAATATTAAAATAATACGTAATTTCATTCTCTGAAATGAGAGAGTGTTTTGCCAGTTAGACTTATGTTCTACTCACCACGCCCCACCAAAGGGCATCTGCGAAATTAGTAAATTTGGTATTTTTCTGGTCCTTCTCGGCAAGGTAAACTAAGAACGACGAAAATATTAAACCCAGAAATCCGATGTAGAGTGTGGTAATAAGCTCCTAGAATATTAACAGAAAAAAGAAAAAAAAAGTTAGTGGCTTATGTGAGTTTTCAGAAAATATTTGTTAATTTAGTTAAATCTGCATTACAGTGGACCAACTCGAGCTTGTTTGTTCTTTTGTTGGTTTCTAGAGTAAAGCCACACTTGGCTATCTACTGTGTCCACCGCGGGGAATCACACCCCCAATTTTATTGCTGTAAATCAGTAAACTTATTGCTGTCTCAACAGGGTACCCAATTCGAGCAACTTCTCTTTTCGGCGAGTACTAATTTTCATTGAAAGATCAACTCGATTATAAGTATATACAAACATTTAAAAATGACTTACTAAAACGTGTTTCTAACTTACCACAACGATCTATATTATATCCTGTCAACACTTACATTGGTACCTTATGTACTGACACTTTTTTGATTCAAGTCCCTTTTATATTAAGGGTACATTTTGGTACAACGCTCTATAACAGTTAGATATTTTTTGTTTGTTTATTTTACATCTCAGAGCTACACAATAGGCCCTCTGCGCTTTGTTCGCTACAGCTAATCAAACCCCGGATTTTAGAGTTGTAAGTCCATAAATTTAGCGCTGATCCATTGGGGAACCATATGAATTATTCATTAAATTATTTGTTAGATAAACTCATATATATCATTTAAACACAACAAAGATGTATTTCAGATAAGCATAACTGCTGGTAGCCCGTTTTAAGGGCAGATGACAGATGTTAAGAGCATTCATAAACGGGTCAAAATCAGGTCACTAAGCTTCACAAAGCTAAACTTACTCATGAATGTCAATTTCTAAACGAGTTGCATTACAGGTCAAGGTCGTTTGTTTGTCAAGTTAAACGATACCTTGTGTCACGATGTGATAAACGGCCAGGTCAAAGACCCCTGTTACACAGACATAGCTGTCCCTAGTTTTGACCTTTGTACCAAAGAAATGGTAACCAGCTGGTAACACCCGCCACCAGAAGGGGATATTTTTAATCGAATAGCTGGATTGACTTTTACTCTTATAATGCACCTACAGCTGAAAATGCGAATCGTTCTTGTTAGCACCACGTCTCGAAGCCGAGACCGTTGGATCCCTAGTCCAATATATTATTTTTCCACGTTCGAGCCATATATATCTAAACAATCACTGTACTAAATTTTCTTTTCTTGTGTTACTTTGATAACCTTTTTTCCAAAATTGGATGACTTTTGCGGTTTTTATACTTGAAAGTTAAGGGTTTTTATATATAGAACTCAACTGTGTGTATAGGTATGCATTACTTGTTTGCCAGTTTAATCTTTTTTACTACTCACCTGACGATGTGCATAAACAACTGAACCCAGCAGCTTCCAGGTGCCGCCCCTTCTATCCATTCGCACCATCCGGAGAATCTGGAAAAAACGAAGACCGCGCAGAGCGGAAGTGGCAAAGACCTGACCACTGCTTCCCATTGCTAAAACCACGAAGGATGCAACGATAACGATGGTGTCTGAAAAGAACAACTTCAATTTGGACAGCGTGTTTTCTTCCAACATAGTAATAAATTTTTAACAAAGTAATACAAGTTATCCAAATGGATAAAACCAGTCATCGGGTAGTTGAATTTATGTTCATCATTGTTATACGAAATCAACAAGAACATTTCATTATAAGGAAAAATTACATATTATAGAATTTTATAATAAGTATTAGAAGTTCTTACTGACCGATTATACAGAAGGGGCTGCGCTAGTGATGATCGTGTGGTTCACGGTAGAATTCTTCCTCCGTCTCTGGTCAGCCGGCTGTAGATCACGTTATCAGGGATGGCTAGGCCGAATGAGATTTTCCCCCAGAAACAAACAGAAAAAGAAACGAAAGATCAGCCATACACTTAGCGGATTCAGAAATTATAATTCATCACTGAATAAGGGGTGGGAAGTTTCTACTAAACGAATCTTCATGCACACTCATAACCTGTATCTTGAATTTCTACATCCATTCTATTGCTTTAAGCAGCGTTTTTGTGGGATGTTCTCTAAATGTACTTTCTAGTCACTACCACGAGCTTCCAAAGTCACAATCGTGCGCGATTACGAATTCCCCATAATGTCAGCACACTCTCATCTAATAATTGGGCAATTACTGTTGAATTTTCATTTGATTCTCATAGTGCAATGCTTTTCCAGTGCTTTATAAAGGGCAGAAAGATTTATTGATAAACGGCTGAAGCCAAAATGTCACAAAGTAGGAAGATAACGAATTTCCAAAGGTAATTGATGACTAGATGTAACATATTGCTATGACTGTCCCAGCCACTTCAGCTCTTCTTCTCATATAATGCGAATAATGTGATGAAAAAAAGAGGAGATCACTATATATGCTAATATGAAATATCGGCAAAATTGTCTGAACTTTAACACTTATTGGTCCATATGAATTCTAAATGTGTTGCAAATCAAGAACAAAGATTTAGAACTAAATCCATCACCAAAGTAGTTTAAGAAAAGTTCGGGGCTGCAAGTCGATTCATATATTGCCTAAAGGGAGCTCTATCTGCTGGATTTCACAATGATTTACTAACCATAAGCCATTCGTCACAGTTCTGAATGTTCAGAGGGAAAGTTCTGGGTTTGGCAGGAAACTGAAAAACTATTTGCATATCAATGCGTTATCCCAACAATGAAAACTCAGTTAGTTGGTTCTACTGTTTACAATAAAGAGAGTCATTAATGTGACATTCTGAATAATGCTGCACTGCCTGCATTGATTGAATTGTACTGAGAAGAATCGTGCTTCTTATAAAATGATATTGCACAATTCCAAATTCGCATACTATATCCATCTGTGGTTCCAAACACGTAACACCTGGAATTTGTATTGGTTCTCACAGATTTCTTGCCTGGGTCTAGCTGAACACTTTAAGCGTGTTATATTTCATCTCGAATGATAAAAATAACAATACTCAAAATCTCACCACAGCTGGAGGTGTTCTCCAAAATGAGTGGCGGCCTTTTCCACTGAAGTATAGCAACGATTGTTGTCAAGTATTAGCAACAGAGTAGAAGCTGTGACTAAATTAAAAAATAGGCTCACCACCTATTATACTTGGATCCCAAAACACGATGTTCCCTTCTTAGTGCTGTGCCAATACTTGTGTTAACACAGAGTAGTTGTCTTTCTCATCTTTGTTTTCTGATGTACCCTCAACTTAATGATGTGAATTTGTAGATTAGTTAAAACTGATTACTAAGAACAGTGCAGTAACGATCAGATGTAATCATGAAAACAATAAAGCTGCATTGCTCAAGTAAAATGAGGCATTTTGTTGTTTTTACAACAAATTAAACTCTTAATTTATTCATTAAAGCTACAGTTAAACATCTAGTAGACCTGGCAAGAAAAATCCAAAAAAAAGAATAACCTGAGGAACCTGAAAGAGGAATATTCCAAAATAACAAAACTTACCGACATAGAACCAGAAAAATTAAAACTACAATTGAATTGTAAAGTAAAAACTGACTTGAGACAAGAATTAAGATAACTGTGTTAACTTAAAAATGACTAAAAATCTGACGTGGCAGCCTGAAATCAAGCACATAAAAAACTGTCTTTGCTATTGTATATTTACATCTCTTGTTGGTTAAAAAAGACGCACCTTTGAAGAGTTCCAACCATGCCACGCAAGTTTTCCTCTATCCTTGGTCATGATCATGGACTACTGCTAATTAAAAGCATGTGTCACACTCATATAACGTAAGCAAGTTAGACTAAACACATTATTTTTGGAAACTAGCTTGGAACAAAGAATAAACAAAATTATCAAAACCAGTTTCTATGAGGTATCATGTAGACCTGACTCCATATTCAGTCACAGCACGTATTCATGCTTATATTTTATTAATAAAATAATTAATTAATGGCTAAACGCCAGGCCACCATTACGCACTGCGCCAGATACACACACCACACCACCCTACACAAAGCCGTAACCTGACCGGTGATGTTATTTTTTGGAAGCACATGAAACTATTCTTACTCTAATTCATTACTTATTCTCATCACAATAATGAGAGCAATAAACATTCAGGAAAGAGTGTTTTGCTTTAAGTTAAGTATCTGCGGCGTTTCATTCAGGTATATTACCAACGAATCAGTAAGTAAACTACATATTTGCCTTTTAAACTAATTTCTCCATTTATATAACGCTGATGCCCAAAGAAGTTTTCAAATCTGTCATGAAACCAAGTTAGTTCAATTTATTCAGTGTATTATAATTAATTATATTTGACATAAGACATTAGTATTAAATGTATTAATTTTTTAACACTACATTCTTTACACAGTCCCTTAGGAATTTTCAAGAAGTTGAATAGTGTATGATAATAGTATTTCAACCATTTTATGTTCACCATATCCATTGCCGATTATGCATTTCGGTCAATACAGAGCTCATCCAACCATTACTGTGTTTGTTTTGTCTAAAATGACCTGATGAGCTCTGTAATGAGCGCAATGCGTCGTCGGCAATGGATATGACGAACATAGTATGGTTGAAATACTATTATTATACATCTTCTAATTCTTGAACGTCCCTAAGGGACTAGATAAAGATGTAGTGTTAAAAATATAATAGGCCTAATACTAAATTAGCATGACTTTCGCCGATATATGGCAATATGGTATCCTCGCTGGCTTTAGGGCAATCCATAGTTTCTAAATGCATGTAATATAGCTTGGCATGCAAAACAACAAAAGTATAGGCCGTTGTGGGGAGCGATAGCTTGCAACTAGGATTGCAATTCAAATCAAATTCTATTAAAATGAATGACTGCAATGAAATCATACATTAAACTTTAGAATTTTCAACAATTAAAATAAATGTAAAAAACAAAACATTCTACTATGTATATTAATAAACGTTGTCCCAGAACTAATTATTCATGACTAGCATGACCACCAAAGCTGCCATTGGACTTCTAATATTTGATTTTTATGAATTACTTTTTGAAATTGCACCCAAACAAATTTAATTAATATGGTGATTTCCTATGATGTCGAACATAATTGTTGAATAAAGAATGTCATAAAAGAATCAAGCCTCACGGGGGAGGTATTTTTTAATATGATAGAGAACATACAATTACTAATAATATTATTATTTACCATACAAAGACTAATTTCGCAATTGCAAAGTACCTTCGGATAATATTTTTATTCGTCCTTAGACTAATTTATAACAATATTTATCTGTGTATATTTTAATTTAAATTAGTCAAATATATGAGCGATAGTAATGAAGCACGTAATTATACAGTCACTACAAAACCTATAGGTGATAATAATCTCGTTAACAGCTTAGCTAACGAAGAAAAAACTTACAATTTTTAAAAGACTTAATAAGCGAATTAAACGATATAGTTTGTTTATTTGAAGATTTTTTAAAATATCAACTGAAGTAAATAATAAAGCAAGTAATACAAAACATACAGCACCCATTAGAAAAGAAAACCTGACAATAATTAAGGATAATGTTATTTCTTTGTTATTATTTTCTTCAGAACAAAGAAAAAGAAAAGACTCTAAACTTGTAAAATAATTAATTAGTAGAATTTCAAAAATACTTTAATTCCTTAGGATCATTTGGAGAAAATATGGATAAGCTGATAACGATATATAAATAACAGAAATAAATACATCATACTTACCATTCTAAAGAGTATTTCACTGGCAACTTTTTCAAAGTCGCTAATAGTTGAGAACACACTCAGCATCAAACACATGAACACCATGAAGAACCTGGAAGAAAGTGAAATAGGAAAAATACATTAAATAGAATTATAGTGGCAGGTCAGATACTAACCTTTAAGAATATATGCAAATACTAAACCATATCATAAACAAATATTATACCATACCTATCATAGCACTACACTCATCATAAACAGATACTACACTATCATAATGATACGCCAATCCTAAACAGATACTACGCCTATCAGAAAAAGATGCTACGCCATATAATTAACAGATAGTGCACCTATCATGAACAGATACTACAGCTATAATAAACAGTTACTACAACATATCCTAAACAAATACTACACCTATCGTAAACAGATACTACATAATTAAATTTAGAATCTTAGAAATAAATAAAAAAATGAGGTGACACTAGCAGCTTAAAGATTAGTAATTATGATAAGTATCATGACTAAAGATAAAGAAAAGCAATCAAAACCTTAGTTTATTTAATTATTCAGATTCTTTATATTCAGTGAGGTTGTTAGCTCATTTGTTTTTAAATTTCTTACATACTTAAAAATTACATACATTGGCCTGTGGTCAAAATTTATTTCAAAAGCTCAAAATGTTAATTTATATTGACTTTTTGACCTTGTTGGTACAAAATGTTAACGATTACACTAGATTTTTGATCCATTGTCCTTGCTGATACAAAATGTTAACGATTACACTAGATTTTTGATCCATTGTCCTTGCTGATACAAAATGTTAAAGATTACACTAGATTTTTGACTTTTTGTCCTTGCTGATACAAAATGTTAAAGATTACACTAGCTTTTGACCTTTTGTCCTTGCTGATACAAAATGTTAAAGATTCCACTAGATTTTTTACCTTTTACCCTTGCTGATATAAAATGTGAAAAATTACACTAGATTTTGACTTTTTGTTCTTGCTGATATAAAATGTTAAAGATTACACTAGATATTTGACCTTTTGTCCTTGCTGATACAAAATGTTAAAGATTACACTAGTATTTTTGACCTTTTGACCTTGCTGATACAAAATGTTAACGATTACACTAGATTTTTGATCTATTGTCCTTGCTGATACAAAATGTTAAAGATTACACTAGATTTTTGACCTTTTGACCTTGCTGATACAAAATGTTAACGATTACACTAGATTTTTGATCTATTGTCCTTGCTGATACAAAATATTAAAGATTACACTAGATTTTGACCTTTTGTCCTTGCTGATACAAAATGTTAAAGATTCCACTAGATTTTTGACCTTGCTGATACAAAATGTTAAAGATTACACTAGATTTTTGACCTTTTGTTCTTGCTGATACAAAATGTTAAAGATTACACTAGATTTTTGACCTTTTGTCCTTGCTGATACAAAATGTTAAAGATTACACTAGATTTTGATATCAGCAAGAACAAAAGGTCAATATCTAGTGTAATCTTTAACATTTTGTATCAGCAAGGACAAAAGGTCTAGTGTAATCTTTAATATTTTGTTTTGACCTTTTGTCCTTGCTGATACAAAATGTTAAAGATTACACTAGATTTTGACCTTTTGTCCTTGCTGATACAAAATGTTAAAGATTACACTAGATTTTGACCTTTTGTTCTTGCTGCTACAAATTTGATCTTTATCCGTAAAACATTATATAAACAATAATTCAACCTATGATCATTAGCAGAATGAAGTAAGTATAGATAATAGATTCATGGTAAGATGATTTTTGTTGTTTAGCTTACTCTGCCGAGAGAGAAGTATGACGTATTTTTTGTTCGCATCTTAGTTTTGAAAATTTCGAGCCTTTAACAATTTTTGTTCAAAATAGTTACTTTAAAAATATGGTGAATAACGACTGCATTAACAGATTAAATGTTTAAGTAGTGTAGAAAAATATTATAATAACTTTTCTTTTTTTTTACATCTTTAGAAAGCGAAAGTAAGTTATCAAACTTAACGAAAATGAGTCAGTCAAAATATTAATAATACATCAGGTATATAACAGTCGTTTTTCAAAATGCAGGAATCATTTACAACATCAAAGTCCGGTTTCGATTAAGGGAGTTTGGCTGAAACAGTTATTAAGTTTCGCGGCAACAAGAAATCATGGAGTTTGTTTCAAAAATTATAATAAAAAAAAATCTTAAAACTGCAAGAAAAAACGAATTTTTTAGAGGCTCGTTTGGTTAAAGCATTGCATACGTTGTTGTTATTCACAGCTTTACAATTACTTCTATCACTGCAACTTTTAACGGTCTCGTAGATGTTATGCTAAACATCTACTTCTCATGAAAACTTTGTTATTTGTAATAACATGTATATATTCAAAACTTTAAGACTAAACTTGTGTGACTTTTTCGAGCGATATAATAAGTTTTGCATTCACAGTTGCAGGTGAAAGCAAACAAAATAAGGGAAAAAAAAGCCTGAAATAGTAATGGGTACAGGATGAGTAAAAAGACTTCAAGAAATGTTTCATTATTCTAGAGTTTTAGACAACGTATTTGGGCTTGTTACTCACGTTACCAGTGATACACATGTGCCCACGTCACTAGTTGTAAAAATCCCAAAGGTGGTGTCTTGTAGACGCCTTACAGTTCAAAGAAATTAATTAAGTCACATTCAAAGCATAAAATTAAAAAAAAAATATAGAAAGAAATGCTTTAAGTGTAATGGGGCACAAATTGAGAAAGAAAACTTTTAGGAACGTTTCTTGGTTCTAAAGTAACAGTTACGTATGCAACGGCGTTTTCTACATTTGTGTTAACAATGATACAAATGTTCTTATACGCAGTTGTGCTTTAAGAAGGTGAACAAAGTGATGCAATTTTTTAACGTTTTATGTTCAAATTACTAATACAACAAAGAACACCACATGCGAATTTTTAAAGCTGGGAATTTCGAAACCTAGCGAAAAATATTCTCTTTTTGTTTCCCAAAAACGTAATTGTTAACGTCATCACATTTTCACTATTGAAATAAAGCAAGCATTGTTGAAGTTTTAAGAGTCAAATACCGATATTTGAAAAGGTGATCGTTATAGTTAGGTTTCTTTCATTTCACACTACCAAAACACAAAACCATAGTAACGTTCGATATTCTTCTAACACACAACAGCACAGTTGTTTGTTACTCTGTCAACATACAATTCATAGTTAAGTTTGACACTCTACCAATACACATATTCTCACAGTTGAGTTTGTTACGCTCACAACACAAAAAGTCACAGATAAGTTTATTATGCTCACCACACACAAACCCATAGCTAAACATGTTATTCTAGTAATACACAAACACATAGTTAAACTTGTCATTCTGATAATACACAAGCATATAGTTAAATTTGTTATTCTGATAATACTCTAACACATAGTTAAATTTGTTATTGTGCTTGTGTATTATCAGGCAAATTTAACTATGTGCTTGTGTATTAGCAGAATAACTTGGAATTTTGGCAGAGTAGCAAATTTAATTTTTATTATGCCAAAATTCCAAGTTATTCTGCTAATTCACAAGCACATAGTTAAATTTGCTACTCTGCCAAAATTCCAAGTCGTAGTTAAGTTTATTACTTTGTCAACAGCAAACTCATAGACAAGTTTGTTATTCTACTAACCCATAAACCCACATTTATGTTTGTTATTTTGTCAATACACGAACACATAGATAAGTTATTTGTCCTTCCAATACATAAACTCATAGTTACGTTTCTTACTCCGCCAATACATAAACATATAGATAAGTTTTTTGTTTTTCCAACACATAAACTCATGTTTAAGTTTGTTACTCTGCCAATGCACAAGTCATGGTTGAGTTTGTCATTCTGCTGACACATAAACGCATTTTTTTTTATACTCTGCCAAAACACAAATCCACACTTAAGTTTGTTACTCTGTAAACACTCACAGCTCACAGTTAACTGCAGACTTTAGGATGGCACAATGTTTTGTGTAGATGCGATTTTCCCAACAGAGTGAGGCAATATATGTATTCTGAGCTTTACACGTAAAGCTCATAACTCGGTTTGTGTAATCTTTAATTTATCCACGTGAAATATCATAAAGAAAGTTGTTCCTGACAATATACATAATTACTGCCGTTTTTTAGCATCTTCTCAACCAGCAAGACTTGGTCGTCATTAATTTGATCAACATAAGCTTAGAACCAATACAGTTTAATGATAAAATATTCTATAAAAAGAGAGACAGATTTATTTTCCTAAATTCCTAGAAGAAAAAGTAACAATCATTATAGGAGAGATCTCAGATAAAGGATGAATAATTGAGTTTATAAAAAATGTTAGTGACAGAGAGAATCTTTTTTATAGTAAATAAATATGTTCACTATAATTCACTTTGATTTATTTCAATAAAAGATGAGAAGAAAAAAACGTGTTCGTTCAACGAAGATTTATTATTAGACTCCAACATCAACATAATTCTTACAGAACAAAAACACTAAAGCTAATTATAGTCCTGACACAAAGATATACTACACTTGGTAGCTATTCCAGAATCTTTACTGTTTAAACAAACACATCAGTGCCAGTTTTAATTTGAACATTCGTGTTTAATTAACATTGAAATAAAATGGTTCTTTCCTAATGACAAGAAGTAATATGAGCTTTGTTAATATTTAGTTACTCTAATATTTCTTTAGAAAATAAAAATCCACTGATACTTTAAGGTTAAACATAAACAAATCAATTTACGAAGTAGTATCAAATAAGCAGGTTGTTGTTCTTCTGGTAACGGTTATGTGTTCTTAGGAACCTCATGATTTCTTCATATAGTATTGTCATGACGACAATGACGCAAACGAAGAGAGAAGTAAATAGACAGAGAACGTTAACGAGTTAGTTAGATAGTGCTATGAAACATGGATAGACATACTGTTCTTTTGGTCAGGTTACTACGTTGAAAATCTCATAATTTCATTGTATGAGATTGTATTTTTTGCATTGCAATGACGCAAAGATACAGACAGAAAAACAGCTAGATAAATAGATTGGTAGATAGATAGATAGAGA